CAAACCAGTTTAGCTCAACCAGTGACCGAGCAATGGTGTCTGAATAATTTTTGGTCTGACAAAGTTTAAGTTTTATAAGCTCGAATGCTCGCCTTGCTCTGTTCTGTGATGACTCTCCTGTTCAAAGTCGTTTATCAAAATGAACGAATCTTTTTCTGAGTCAATTCGTTCGTTTTGTTCATCGAATGAACCAAATGACTGGGAAAAAGATTCGTTCATTTTGATGAACGCAGTGGTGGAATGTAAGTACAAATACAGTACATTTTTCACGTATCTTTACTTTACTTAAGTAGAATAAATAGTGCATACTTTTTACTTTTACTTTGTTACATTTTGCAGCAATTATTCTACTTTCTACTCCACTACATTTCTACAACTTCTGTTACATTTTCGTTACATTTTCTGATCAGTTTTTCCCCTGCCAAACCGTAATCTGACCGTCCGTTCGCTGCACGTTTGTCTCACCAGTGACGTTTGGTTGCGATAGATACATCAACTTAATGCGTCTCGCACGCAGTGTGTTTATCGTGCAATTTATACACGAAAATTTGTTTTTACGTGCATAGGAAACGCACCGTGTGTAATAGGATTATGGCAAGCCAAGAGGTTCAGAATTACACCATAAATTAATCGCGTCTACTGCCAAACATAATTATTAACATATAGTAAGTATAAGCATGATGTGTATATTGCCTAATTGCAAGCTTGTTTCAGAAATGGTGGCAACAATTTATTTCCATCATTATTGAACATCATTATAGGAGTATTAGGTTGAATGAGTTTTATTAATCATTAGAAAATAGACATTAAGAGAATAAATTGTTATGCAAGTACTTTTACTTTTAATACTTAAAGTACATTTAAAATCAGGTGCTTTTTACTTTTTACTTAAGTATGGTAACTTGTTATTGTGTTACTTTTACTTTTACTAAAGTAAATATTTATCTGGTTATTTGTACTGAGATTCAGCACTTCCTCCACCACTGGATGAACGAGTTCGAACAGGAGAGTCACGAACGCGCATCATAGAACAGAGCAAGGCGAGCATTTGAGCTTATAAAACTTAAACTTTTTTATTTATTTTTTAAATAACCGCTCATTTCGCTTGATAAGACCCTTATTTATTGTCTGGTGTCGTTTAAAGCCCTTTGAAGCTGCACTGAAACTCTCATTTGGACCTTGATCCGTTTGGACCCCATTGAAGTCCATTATATGGAGAAAAATCCTGGAATGTACGATACACTCACACTGCCTTCCTGTCCTTTTCCACACCGGGTTAACGTTTTAGCAGAGTAATCTTGAATATTTCAAGCTTGCACATCATAAATCGCTTCCGTTCCCCCGTTGTGTTCGGGCCTCGCGGTATCGGTCCGGTCCGGCACGGCGGCGCAGGAGACAGCGTGTCATTGTCCTGACACTCATTACCGAAGCGAGTAATCGATGTGGCCGTAATGAAAGATCTCATTGTGTGAAACGTGCGGGCGGGACAGAGGCGCTGTGTTCCTGGAGGAAATCACTGCTGTGACGGATCGGGTTGCCTTGAAAAAGCACAGCAGTTCTCACTGCCTCCGTCCTAAAGCCCTTTGATTAAACTAATAACAGTGAAGACGACAACACACACACACACACGTTCTGAAGTGCCGGAGTGTGTCGAGCGGCGTGTGACATGCACACTGTTTCCTCCTGAAACATTAGTATAGTTATCTAGTCTTCTTTAACAATCTTCTCATAAAATGTTATTTATACATCATTCATGGGACATTTTTCCAACCTTTTATCTGGATATTCTTTTACGACTTCAAAAGTAAAAAGTAACGTTCGAAAGTAACGTTCCCATAATGTTTGAAGAATGATCAAATGGAATGTGGCCTAAATTACTAAGAAAAAAGCGTTTAAAACGTTTAAAAACGGGACGTTCACAGAACATTCAGAAATAATGTTTAATGGGAATGTTAGCAGAATGTTGTCAGAAAACATTTTGTTAGCTTGGCACAAACATATGAAGCTTATTTCCACCAAAGGTAATTAAGACTCTTCATTTACTTTTTATGACTTTTTTCTCTGAATTCTGCGTTTACATCTCGCAATTATGACTTTTGTTCCCAGAATTCTGAGTTTACATCTCGAATTATGACTATTTTATCGGGATTCTGAGTTTATATCTTAAAATTATGACTTTTTTCCTTGGAATTCTGAGTTTATATCTCGTAATTCTGACATTTTCCCAGAATTCCGAGTTAGCATCTTGCAATTATGACTATTTTCTGGGGATTCTGAGTTTACATCAAGTAATTCTTCCTTATTCTTTGAATTCTGAGTTTACACCTCGCAATGATGACTATTTTCTCAGGACTATGAGTTTATATCTTCAATTTTATGATTTTTTTCCCTTGGAATTCTGAGTTTACATCTCGCAATTCTGACTTTTTTTCTCGGGATTGTGAGTTTACATCTCAAAATGACGACTATTTTCTCAGGATTATGAGTTTATATTTTAAACTTATGACTTTTTCTCTCAGAATTCTGAGTTTAGATCACGTAATTCTTCCTTTTTCTCGGAATTCTAAAATTATGACTTATTTTCTTGGAATTCTGTTTATATCTCACAGTTCTGACATTTTCACAGAATTCCGAGTTAGCATCTTGCAATTATGACTTTTTTTCCCAGAATTCTGAGTTTACATCCCATAATTCTTCCTATTTTCTCAGCATTATGAGTTTATATTAAAAAAATTATGACTTTTTCTCTCCAAATTCTGAGTCTATATCACATAATTCTTCCTTTTTCTCGCAATTCTGACTTTTTTGTTTCTCTGAATTCTGTTTACATCTCGCAATTCTGACATTTTCCCAGAATTCCGAGTTAGCATTTTGCAATTATGACTTTTTTCCCCAGAATTCTGAGTTTACATTCCATAATTCTTCCTATTTCTCAGCATTATGAGTTTATATTTTAAAATGATGACTTTTTCTCTCCAAATTTTGAGTCTGCGTCCAGTATATCACGTAATTCTGACTTTTTCTCTGAATTCTCAGTTTACATCTCGCAATGATGACTCTCTTCTCAAGATTTTGAGTTTAAATCTTAAAATAATGACTTTTTTCTTGTAATTCTGAGTTTACACCTCACAATTCTGACTTTTTTTCTCTGAATTCTGTTTATATCTCACAGTTCTGACATTTTCCCAGAATTCCGAGTTAGCATCTTGCAATTATGACTTTTTTTCAAAGAATTCTGAGTTTACTTCTCGGATTATGACTATCTTCTCTGGATTCTAAGTTTACATCACGTAATTCTTCCTTTTTTCTCAGAATTTACATCTCGCAATGATGACTTTTTTCCCCAGAATTCCCAGTTTACACCTTTTAATTCAGATTTTTTTTCTCAGAATTCTGCGTTTACAACTTGCAATCAGGTCATTCTGAGGGACTCTTACAATTCAGATTTTTTGGTTGTTTCATTTCTTGACACCTGACCTGACTGCGCACAGAAATCTGAAGAAAAACAGTCAGAACTGCAAGTTGTAAATTAACATTTCTAAAAAATGAGACTGAAAAATGTCAAATGGCAGATAAAAAGTTGCTTTTTTTTAAGTTGTATTCTGTATTGTAAATAATGAGTTTGCGAGACCTGCCTGTTGTGTTTTGGTTTGGACACTTGTGCACTGAGGAATGACCACTATCAAGGGTGCACTAACTCAGGTTTAAAGGGTCCGAAGACTTAACTGAACCCATGCATCAGGGGTTTGGGGAGATTTAGGATGGTTTTGAACAAATCCTGAAGACAGCAAGTTTCCATAAGACGCCAGAATCTTCTAGTTCCTGTTCGGACAGTATGTTGACTGTTGCACAGAACTGATTATGGTTCAGCTGCCAAATTAATGACTCCTGTCATTCTCGGAGAGTGTATTTGTGTAATGTGACCCTCGGATAAGGACTTTAGAGGGACAGACTGACATCATTAAGTGGAAGTATGGCCAGCGCTGGTGGGCATGTGAATCTTACGTAAGAGCTGGAAAGATTGGAGACTACAGCCATTCGACAGTTGAACATGTCCGGAGGGCAGCAGATAATCAGTGAACTCATATTTATACAACAGTTTGAGTGCGCCAGTGTAATGAATATAATAGTACTGCCGGTATATAATAGTATCTTCCCTTCTGATGCCCAGAAATACAGTCCATATTTGGAGCCCTCTTATGATGCCATATGCTGTACATGCCCAAAACTTCTGTCAATGAGTGGAGAGCAAATATGACGCCCAAAAAAGCTTTATGCTATTATAATGATGGCCAAAATAAAGGCAAGACACTTGGTGTTTTTTCATGCATTGGTCGATTTAGAGATTTTGGACGATATGTCATTTCATTAGAAACGAAAAAATCCAACAATCACTTTTAAGTGTTTATTTTATAGCACTTTATCTATTTGCATCGTTACATATCTTAAAAAAAAGGTTAGAAATCTCCACTTCAGCCGCATAGTTGTTTTATTCTTATCTACAGAAGTCAACACAGGCTATTTGTTGACAAGTGTATCAAAAAAAGTTCATCAAAGTTGTCCAAACACAAGAATGTTCAAAATTCATGTATAACTTTGATTAAAGGTTTTGACCAACTTCAAATGTTTACTACTTTATAATCTGATTTTATACAACACTATTCCTAAAAACATATATTTATTTAATCTCCTCTGTAAAAACCTTCAACCCACCCAAATAAATATGTAGGAGAATATTCAACCTGGCTTCATCCAATCAATGTGCAAATTTCATCCAAATGAGTGCATATTTAATTAGAGAACGGCTGATTTGCATGTTTAAACAATGCATGGTGATATTGATTAGTTAAACTTTTAACCGATTCACCGAGAAAATGCTCCACATCTATTTATTACGCACAAAAAAAATGCGCTAAGTTTGCATCTCGCTGCTCTGAGACAAAGCTGCGCACACACTTATGAAGCCCAAGATTGACATCATCTCAGTAGTTGTTACTCACCAGTCCATCGCAGTTACTGATGGCCACCGAGGCCTTCGGCATGTCCGTTACATCCCCGGTAAACACACAGTCTCCGAGCATGCGCTCTTTGGCCTGCTCCTCGAAGTCCTCCTGCCACTGGACGAGAGCTCCGGGGGCCACGAGTCTCCTGTTGGCCCTCAGGCGCAAGTGCAGCTCCTTTCCGAACACCGTGACGTTGAAGAACAGCTGCTGCGCGTTGAGGGCCTCGCGAGGCGTCACGGGCGCGTCGCGCGGGACGCGTTTCCTCCCGGATGATGACGCTCTCGCGGAGGAGAGCACGTGAGACACGAACCGGCCGCGCGCGTCCGTGCTGAACGGGACCATCAGGCCGAACTCACTCAACTTACCGGACAGATTCCCTGACAGACACAAACAGGACTATATTACTGACAGGAGATCGCATAGGGCCACTTATGTAAACAAGCGGGCAACTGAGATATGCTAAATTAAAATTAATAGCCTAAATAAATCGATTCAATACAAGAAGGAATGTTTTACGAATATAAAATTTGTAATGTTATGGATACACTTTATTTTAAAATGACTTTGTTACAGTGAGTAGGCTAATAATAATTGACTAACGTATAGAGTTATGGTTTAGTTGCATGCAATTATGCAAAATAAAGTGTTATGGATGAACATGCATGCACAAATTATTCTTGAGGCCCTTGACTTTTATGAATAAATATGAAATGCATGATCAATTCAATAAAAGAAGGGGAAAGGAATGTTTTATGAATCTAAAAATAGACATATTAAGGTTATGCATGCATAACTTCTTTGTTTTTAACTCGCTAAAAGTTGAGAACATCCAGCTGAAAAACACAGATAAAGTCGTATAAATCAGCTTCTCTTACCATGAGATTTTGCAGCCTGTCTATAGTCCAGAAATAAGAGGTTTATCGTACAGTACATGAATAGATAAACATAATCCATAGCTGCCAATGCACGAAACTTTTCTTCGGGAAGTCGACTGTGAACTCTCCTCCTGGACGCGTTTCATGAGGAACAGTGTGTTTGAGAAAGTTGCGACGAACTGCGAGTGTCACCGAGTGTGTGTGTGTGTGTGTGTGCACAGTTCTGATGGACTGAAGTGGAGTCTCACACGGGACGTCCCATCACTGACGAGAGCTCGAGCCCGCCTGAAGCTCCACACGTGGAAGATCGCGTCTTTAATGGGCCAATGTGCTTTCGATCAGAGGGAATTCAGTGGCTGAGAGTACTTTAATGCATTGGAAAGTCACTGTGGTGCTGCTTTTGTTGAACTATTTCGCGCATTTACACTGCGGAGGGAAAAGGGCAACTTTGAAAAGGGCATTTAAAGGGACAGTTCACCCAAAAACAAAAAACAGTGCACCCTAGTTTCCATAAGCAAGTCATAAAAAACCAGCCCGATAAAACAGTATGCACACTATTCCAAGTCACAAACTTTGACATGCAAAGTCTTAAAGGGGTAAATTCTGTCATTATTTCTCATGTCGCTCGAAACGCAGAACACAAACGAAGACCATTGACAGTCTACGCAACTACTATTCAAGCCTCAGAAAGTAAAGACACCAGTAAATTACTCCAGTGGTTTAACCTCACTGTTAGACCTTACCAGGTTTTTTTTTACAGTAAAATACGGTTGCCAGTAATTTACTGTAAAAATGCACTAAAGCTAATAAGTTGTATTTTTTAGTTAACTTGAGTTTTAGTGCATTTTTACAGTAAATTACTGTAAAAAACCTGGTAAGGTCTAACAGTGCTCCATTTAATGAGTAAAAAACCCAACATAATTTACCACTTTATTTACAAAATATTAATCTCATCAGACATGAGATCACGTAACGACATCCGCTCTCGCGTAAACACAAACTCATGCCTTATTATGCTCTCGTGAACGCACGTTGGAGATGTTGTAAATAAAGTGGTAAAATATGTTGTTTTGCATGGAATATAATTATTTATTTCACCTTTTTTGTATGTTTGAAATGAATGCAAAAAAAAAAACAGGTTTATATACTCTGACATATTGTCTTTATGCCCAGCTGCACTACTTCCTGAACTTCAGCCAGCTCCTTGTTTCCTGTCTGCCATTATTGGACAAACTTGATTAATTCAGGTGTGTCTGATTATTGTTGCCATGACAACTGAGGTCAGGCACACCTGAATTAATTGGTTTGTCCAATAATGGCAGACAGGAAACAAGCAGCTGGCTGAGGTTCAGGAAGTAGTGCAGCAAAGACAATTTTCTCTTTATTTGGCAAAATTTGTTTTAATCTGATTTCTAAGCGTTGACTAAATGCACACGAGAAAACGAGATTCAATGGAAAGTAATTTACCTCGTGCTCAGTGGATTATTTGTAATCATGATGTAATTAAATGATATTTATTTTACTGTATACAGTGTGTGAATAAAGAGTTCACATCATTTGATCAGTTTGAAGTACAGCTCCCCCTACTGGACGAGGACGCAGGCGCTCTCACAATTAGCATATTATGAATAAATTAGCTGTGATACATAGATTAATGTGGTTAGTGATTGAACTAAAAGATAAACTCCAGGAGTCTGAAGATCTGCATCTTCATCGATAGCAAGACTGAATGAGAAGCGTCCAGTAACACTCGTCCACACACACACACACACACACACCTCTGCTTGTTAGAGGTCCAGATCGTGTCTTTCACATGCAATCAGCCGTTTCCCACACACACACACACACACAGACACACACGAAGCGGATGCTGGAAGTCCAGGCGTCTGACTCAGAAGTGAACTATAGTCACACACACTCATCTTGTTCCAGCTGGACTGAGTCACACACACAGATTGTCTTGTCCAGCACATGTTAGTCATTCATTAAAGCAATAGTTCAGCCAAAATGAACATTTTGTCATCGTTTACTGATCGTTCTATCCTATGCTTTTATTCCCGAGAAGCGGATGGAGATTCATCATATCCACACCACAACTCTATGATACCTTTAGGATTTTTAATGTACACTCTAAACAATGCTGGGTTGTTTTAACCCAAATTTGGGTCAAATATGGACAAACCCAAATGTTGGGTTCAACTTTCACTTTCAACTGTATTTTTTTAATTGCATTTTTTATCCCAACATTTTTCAAGTCCATATTTGACCCAAATTTGGGTTGAAACGACCCAGCATTTTTAAAGTGCATTCAGAGGAGGCATATCCTACTGTAAATGTATTGAAATGAATAAGGCATCTTTGAGTAAACTTCGAGTATCATTTGAGGATCTGTTCGCCGGGCCGAGTGTCCTGCTTTTTGGTTTTTGGTCGCCCTAGTCAATGTGCACTATAAAAAATGCTGGGTTGTTTTAACCCAATTTTGGGTCAAATATGGACAAACCCAATTGTTGGATTAAAAAAAAAGAATTTATAGATTTAACCCAACAGCTGGGTTTGTCCATATTTGACCCAAAATTGGCATTTTTTAGAGTGTGTGTAATAATTCAATGGCCCATCTTCAATTATGGCTTGCTTATTACAAATGAATAAAATAACTAAATAAATAAACAAAATACTCAAGTGAAAGCATGATATGAAACCACTCTTTTAATGTTTACACTATATAGTTAATACACTCTAAAAATGCTGGGTTGTTTGAACCCAAATTTGGGTCAAATATGGACAAACCCAAATCTTGGGTTAAAAATGTAACTTCAACTTTCACTTTCAACTGTATTTTTTTTAATTGCATTTTAACCCAACATTTGGGTTTGTCCATGTTTGACCCAAATTTGGGTTCAAACAACCCAGCATTTTTTAGAGTGTGAAATTTGATTCATGTATAGCTGACTTATTATGAGTTAGCATGTTTGCAACCTGTTTATAGCTCACGTAATCTGGCAATCAAGCATATTTCCAAGCAAATACGCATATACATCAAGAACAAAATGAGACTTTTTCCTTATTCATAATATTTTGGTTCAAAATTGGTTACTGGCTAAAACTATAGAGATTTGTCGGTATGTTTATTTAATTGTGCATGCATATTTTCCCTATTTTTACATTTACATCACCTTTGCTGCCATCTAATGTTTATAATACACAAATAATTGAATGAATCATTAATGTTTAGCAAAACATTTTTTTCAAACTGCAAACACTCTAAGTCTAAACAATGCTGGGTTGTTTGAACCCAAATTTGGGTCAAATATGGACAAACCCAAATGTTGGGTTAAAAATATAACTTTGGGTTTGTCCATATTTGACCCCAATTTGGGTTGAAACGACCCAGCATTTTTAAAGTGCATTCAGAGGAGGCATATCCTACTTTAAATGTATTGAAATGAATAAGGCATCTTTGAGTAAACTTCGAGTATCATTTGAGGATCTGTTCGCCGGGCCGAGTGTCCTGCTTTTTGGTTTTTGGTCGCCCTAGTCAATGTGCACTATAAAAAATGCTGGGTTGTTTTAACCCAATTTTGGGTCAAATATGGACAAACACAATTGTTGGATTAAAAAAAATAATTTATAGATTTAACCCAACAGCTGGGTTTGTCCATATTTGACCCAAAATTTGGCATTTTTTAGAGTTTGTGTAATAATTCAATGGCCCATCTTCAATCATGCCTCGCTTATTACAAATGAATAAAATAACTAAATAAATAAACAAAATACTCAAGTGAAAGCATGATATGAAACCAATGCTTTATTAACAACTCGTGTAATGTTTAATACACTCTAAAAATGCTGGGTTGTTTGAACCCAAATTTGGGTCAAATGTGGACGAACCCAAAGGTTGGGTTAAAAATGAAATTTAAAAAATGTACAGTTGAAAGTGAAAGTTTAAAATTTTTAACCCAACATTTGGGTTTGTCCATATTTTACCAAAATTTGGGTTCAAACAACACAGCATTGTTTAGAGCGTATAATAATCAAATAATAAGTTAATTTAAACACACAACTGGCTTTATTTCCTGTAAATTGATTATGTAAATGAAGCTCTGAGTTTTAAATGAGTGATTTGTTCACTGAATCCGGTTAAAGCTAACGGAGTGAATGTGAAAGTGTGTCAGAAGAAGCTGTAATGATCACTGAAGGTTCAGCAACGCTCGCCTCTCAATGCTGCTCTTTGTTCCACTCGTTCTGAAGCGCCGGCTCCAGTTTCAGCTTGGAGAAGATCTCAGGATCTGGAAGACGTTTCAAAGAGCCGGCCGCCATATCGTCCGACTCGTAGATACAGCAGTGTGTTCACTCCTTCCGGATCCTGAGACACACACACTTCTACACACACAGAATGATTCTGATAAAGGAACAGGGGGATGTTTCATTACTTTCAGGAAGTGTTCATCCAAAAATCAATGGCATTAGGGGGAATCAATGCTGACATAGTCAAACCATCATTTATTTCTCACACACACTATCACAGTTTACTCACCCTGATGTCGTTCAAATGCCGTACACCCTTCTTTTTCAAAGATAAAGTGTTTTTTGAGGTCCAAATTAAGAAGGATTTGCATGCTGCATTAGTACAATACCAGGGTGAGTAAATGATGGCTTAATTTTCATTTCAGGGTGAACTGTCTCTTTAAGACGAGGCTGAAAGACACGTGAAGTTAGCAGGAGTCTGAGGACACGGCGTCTGGCACTGAGCCGCTTTAATCTGAGGTGCTCTGGTTTCATTTTCATTAATCTGAGAGGGCTCACCATGTGATTAAACCCCTAACAACTTCCGTACCTGCAGATCATCAGAGATCTGGAGTATCAGTGTTTCAAAGCCACTGCAGGAGAACAAGGCATTTCCTCAGATGGACTTCATCCACGACGTGCAGGACGAGGGATCGCAGGAACACGTTTCTGATCTTCTCAAACAGCCGGCGTTCAGATGCACACTCGCTTTACAACCAGAGTTGGTGTTATTAACTAAACTAAAACTATTTCTCTAATGGAATAAAAGCTGTTATAAAAGAGATATAATGCGAAACTATCCACAAGTTCCCTACGCCCCATGAAGCCTTGCGTCAAAAGGGGGCGCGACTTCCGGTTCGAAGTAAACAAAGCGCGACTTGACAAGCTTGACACTCGTTCATTCAACAGTTGACAGTCATTCAAGACAAGTTATAGCGATCCGATGTGGGAACACAACCTCAACGAAATTCAAAAGGGTGAAATAACAGTACCTTACCCTCCGCAGTAGTTGATAATAACATTATTAATAATCAATACTCATCAAGGCATGGTGACAGAGAGTTGTGCGAGATGACAA